TTATAGGGTTTTGTCGCACTGATGTCTTTAATGTTGTAAAAAGGAACAATAATCAAATCACGCAAAATCTGTTCTGACTCCGTATCACATTTCTAACTCTTGTGGATCAATACGATGGATAGTGGCTATGATTAGTCAACAAACGACACACGCACGATCACAGATGTCAGACGGTGTTGTGAAGTTACCGGAAGCGAACGTGTGTTTTGATCTTCTTTCCTCCACTAGTACAGTTCTTGTTTTTTCTTGCTTTCAGCTCATATTCTCCAACAGACAAGTTGATGCAAAAATCAGGGCTTGAGTTTTCTGATTTCTGAACTCCACATTAAGCATTAAAATTGTGATTTTTTTCCTGATTACGGCGCGACTCTTTTCTCCGCAACCATTAAAGGTGAAAGGTCACAGGTAATCGTGCTTGCTGTGGTGGTCCTGGAATTTGTGTTGGCAGTCATTTACTGTTCGAGGCCTGTTAATTGAAAATGGGAGGCTCTAGTAGCACCCCAAAGAAAGTGACGGTAGAGATGGACCAAGAAACGGGCACAGTAAAGGTGGGTCGCATATTTGTTACGCTGTACTCTCATTCCTGTCCGATGCCGGAGCGACTTTGGTGAAATCAGCGATGGCATGATAACAGTAACACTGCTCGAAATTTGTTTTTTTCTGTACAGTTCCGTCGTATATTGTTTTATTTTTATTTTTTCCAATGTTTTTCGTTTCCACGGAATACATTCTGTTATATTTTGAGAATAAAAAAAAAATCTTTTTTCTTCTTGGGGCCTATGACTGAATCTACTACAGTTGAATTTTAATTTGGGGGGAAATATGATCATCTTATCTAATATTTTATCTATCTGGCTCACAACGTATTGTAATAAGTATAAATCAAAATAATGGGACGTTGAACTATAAAGAACTCTCCAAAAATCATTACAATCAACCCTCACCTCGTACTGGGATATCTGGTGGTGTGTGTGTAATGTCATGTATTGGGTCTTTCAATAATACACCATCTGGCTTCACGTAGGCATAGATTGTAAGTGATGCAGTTAGCATGGTAGACTCCTGACATAATCTTACACAAGATGATAGTCTTTTAATACCTTCATACATGTAGTCGCACAGACACACAGACATAGACAATTCACAAAGTACATGTACATGTAGGTATAACAGACAATTTTATTGTTAATTTATTCAAAAGAGTTCATACATGTAGCATCTGAAAGAGGTGGTATGTCTGACCACTAATCAACACAAAAGAAATCAAAATATGCTAATTATTCAATATGGCTGCCTCTCAAATCTCCAATTTGGGATATTTTTCCATTTTAGGCAAAGAATCATCAACTAGAGCACAATTGCATATCCAATTAATGAAAGTATGTATCCATCTGCTAGACCTGTTAAGAAGATTTCAGTATTATTCAGAATTCCATCTTGATCACATGCATAGGGTGTAATATCCAAAAGTACCCAGTTGCAGGTTGCCAGTTTCGGTTAATACTACTTCCCGAACTGTAACTACTAAACCACCTATTTTGTAATTCTTTGTTTTTAGCCATAACATAGTGGAGGCTTTAAGAGGTAGTACGGCAACATAGTGGGTTGATTGCATTTGGGCAACTGTCTGTTGTCTGTCCGTTTGTGTGTCACTGAGCTTTATTTGTAGTAAAACTACAGAACTTTTTTCTGAATAAATACAGCTCTGAACGGCTTATCTGCCAAAATTATGCAGATAACATTGTTCATTTCAAGTAAATATATTGTTACGAACGGGAATACGAGATAGTCTCCTGCGAACCTGGCCGCCAATATCTCGCACTCCAGAACGCAACACTAAAGGTCAAACAAAGGCACACAGTCAGGATATGTCCAATAATACTAATTTAATAATACAATAAGTATAAACCAGTAACAGGAGTAATATAAATCACAAACCGGTCAACAATATACATCACAATAAATACAACATTAATGATAATAGCCCAGCTCGGAATTGCCTACCCTACCTAAGTGCAGAACTCGTACTGCGTAGCTTCAGCGATAGTACAGTTAATCACAGCAACGTTGACGGCGATATCAGTTCTACAGCTCCAAACCACGAGGTCTCAGGGAATGCAAATTACATGACACTGACCGTAATGTTACACAACTTCCATACCGTCCGTGCAGAGAAAAGACCAAGATCAGCAAACCACGCTTTCTGGCGAAACACAGGTCTTTGAATAAGGTTGGTTTTACAGCGCAGAACCACAGCAGACTGTTTTGCATCTATCAGTCCCACATGCCAAATTGGTCAGGCATATCTTGAGACATACGTTGGCTGCCACGTTGACACTGCACCGGAGTTGAGCTGAGCTGAGCTGAACTGCACTGCACTGGTCGGGAGCTGGGTGACAACTGACTAACTCGTGTTCATGTTCGTCTTCCACCAGCACAAACAAAAGAATATTAATTAGCAATGACAATACATGCTGTCCATTCTAATTCCGCAGCTGGGCAAGCCTCACTAGCTAATTGGGCATTATCAAAATACATTTATTTTACAGCAAAAATAGAATATCACAACAATATGTGTAATCATTCCAAACAATTTAATTATTTGGGCTGCAGTAACTCCCTTGTTGAATTCTTAAGTGCACAATAATATAGAAAATACAGTCCGTTATATGACATTTGATTATTATGAAATAAATTGCCAACACGATTGCCATTATAATTATTATGTGTTTGTCTTATTCAGACTAATGATTTATTTGTGATTTAAAGTTAAACGTACTAGATTATATGTGATATGGGTCCCATGCCGTCATATCAATTGCATGTAAAATACCAAATGGACATTTTATTCACAAAAACTTTATACACTCATGACACAACATATGGGGTGCTCTGATCAGCACACCCACGTATTTCAACATCCCAATGTCCCAAATATATGCACATACATTTATAAATAATAGATAGACACAGTCACTTTATCAGCTCAAATACAAAAGCCAAAACTGACCTTTATTTACAATAAAATTAAATCAAACTATTATTTCGATGTCTCCATTCTTCATGTCATCCTGTAATGAGTAAGAGTATACTGCCTCCACTTTGTCACCTTCATACACTATATTATACCATTTCAGGAATCCAGGCACCTGAAATATATAGTAAAGTATTATAATTATTGAGGTGCCAAAGACAACTCCCTTAGGAAAAACAAGCCATGCATGGCACAGTCCCTGTTAGTTATCGAATTTAAGATGTATAGTTTTATTTATAGTAATATAGCTGGAATATAAACATGTCAGGAATATGATTATGATGATTGTTTAACATTTAAATGATTGACATTTGTATCTGATAGTCAAACGAGTATTGAGAGATATTGCTCTGGAACAGCACTAATTGAAACAATATCAGCCATTTTGAATACATGTATAATGAATATATAAATTTTGAACAGAGTCAGTCAAAGCATATCAGAGATATGTTGCGAGAAGCCCATTCATTAAAACAAAATGGCCACTAGTCAGCCATTCTGAATCCGATCTAAAAAATAAAATAACGTGCATCAGGAACTCGTAATGTCTAATGTATGTACCAAGTTTGAACAAAATCCATCTGTAAACAGCCGAGAAATGCTTGATTTTGATGATTTTTTTAGCACAAAAATGGCCACCATTTGGCCATTTTTTATAGGATCGTCAAACCAATACATCTGTATATCTATGACATGTTGTGGCGGCAAGTTGGCCATTTTGAATCTTATCTGAAAACAAAATGCTGTGCATCAAGGTCCTATAATGTCCAACGCATATACCAAATTTGAACAAAATCCATCTGTAAACAGCCGAGAAATGCTTGATTTTGATGATTTTTATAACAAAAATGGCCACCATTAGGCCATCTTGAAACAGATCGTGAAACAAATTGACATGCATATGTATAATATCATGTGTGATGTATGTGTGCAGTTTGATTGTGATTACTCCAGGAATTTCTAAGATACAGGATGCACGCATGGAAACACGGAGGTCAAAACATAAGTCCCCGTTTTCGAACTGCATCTGAAGGGGTACTAAATATTACCACATAATGATTCAATGAGATTACCAATGAATTACAATGTAAATGCAATGAATAAAATATAAATTTGGTGACTTAATTTTAGCTGGAATGGAGCGGAATGAGTGGTACAATATATGCCAATGAAAATAATCTAAATTCATGATACATGTACATGTACTAGTAGGATACTTGCAATGTGCTCGTTAACTTAAAAAAATATCAAATTTATACATATCTTACATTTACACATTATTTATTTTTACTTTTATCTTTTCATTTGTTTATTTATTTATTTTTATTTATTATGTTCATTATGTTTATCTGGATTACTGATCATGCCTGCCATGACCATACCTACAAAAGAACTGTGCCTCTGTAGTTTACCAATTTCCCACCTTTTGATTTTGAAATTGATTCCCAGCAGTGAGCAATGCTATTGTCTTTGTTACTAAGATACTACTCTATTCATCCCATTGTTTCAAATGAATAGTGAGACGCCGTTCTACGAAAACATTGTCGCACATGTTTTCCTTGCGAAAGTACTTCCGGCTTTTGAAAACGCGTTGCGCTAGATTACGCTGATATCATGCATAAATCAAACACAAGAATTCATTATAAAAGACGGTCTATCTTGCTCCTATCAAGTGCATATAAGCGGCAGACTCCAGCATAACTAGTAATACCTCTCACAATAAATGGCTTCAACAAATCATCTATTTTTTCAGGAAAATTAAAAAAATAAACGTAATAACGTCGGCACTCACCTTTTACATGTAGCGAAGACTTGTGCTGTACGAAAATGATGTAATATCCAGTGCTCGATCACGCATGTGAAGAGGTCGCGTATAGCTCAAGAATCTCCTAGATGGCGTAACAGTCGATGAAATGTTAACTAGATGGGCGACAATTTACCACTTTTTGAAGCGGAAAAAAACGTTCTCAGACTTAAACAAAAGTAAATTTAGATATTTTACTATGAATATCGACCAGTTTTACAACTTTTAGTCTTGAGAGATTTATTTAAGCATAATTTTAATTCGGCCTTTGTTTCCTATGGTAGTGGAATAGGGGTCCAGCCAGTCAGTTATCGCTAAACAAACGCCTTTTCCAGGGATTGGTTCAACACATACATGTAACACAATAGCTAAAAACAGTATTGTAGTGACTGCACAATAATATGCACACCAGCTGCGTGCTGTCCCAATATTTCAGTCAGTGGCCTCATTACAGAGTTGCAGTTCTATCACTAGTAGATTGTGCATCGCATGCACATATGCTTATAGGCACCATCCAATCAGTAGCTTCCACCAATCCATATAATTTTGGCTTTTGTCAACCATTTTATAACTTTTTGTATGAAGGATGGGAATTTGTCTTCTCATGAGACATGTACAACACATGGGTCCAACGTTAAATGTATGAAGACAAACAATGAATTACATTGAGATTTTATTTGATTTATTTTCTAAAATTTTAATGTAAAAATGACATACATGTACATACAAGTGCATGAATAAAGTTTTAAATTTTGAATTGTAAACCTACTCTAATCCATAAAATTATACGTATGATAATTTAATAAACTACCATTTCCAAAATATTACTGTATTTTCTTTGAAATAAATCTCATAGTTCATGAACAGAACCCAATCTTTTTTTAAACCTGATGAGCACATTTTGCTTGATATAATACAAGATGATTTAGTATCTGGAGATTGAACTTGATCATGTACAACATCAACATTGTCTCTTATTTCTATTATGAATGTTTGTTTTCAGATATCTGAAGCCGTTGTTCGTCGCATGATGGGAGAAGAAGAACCTAAAGGTAAGGCTGTATACATGTACATGCAGTGGTTATTTTTGATTACAACTATTTGTAGACTTATTGACTGTAATATAAACATACCACAGGCAAGTGGGTATTGGTGTGATGTATAATTTCCACTCTATGTTAGCAGAAAATAACCATAACCGTATTTCCTTTACTAGTAGCACATGTTTTTATATAAATTACAATTTTATTTGTGATCAAAGTAAGTTGTATTTTAATAATTTAAGTCAATTAAAATACAATTTTTGGTTTATATGCACTTCTATTGGAAATGTTCTCCTATTAATGCAAAAACTCCCCATCATACAATTAACCACTTGCTTGGTTTGAAAAAAACAACAAAATAATTGATAGATGCTCTTGTATCATGTAAAGATATGATAACTTTTATGTCTGTTTACATGTCCAATCGATTAATATTAAATTACAATAAAACAGAAGTTATCAAATTCACGTTCTGTTATGAGAAAGACTCTCAAGATCTAAGATCTCTAAAATTTGGCACATATTATACTGTCTTTGTGCATACTTTGCAGTATCCTCGTAATAACCTCATATTATCGTCATTCTTTGCAAGATTCAAGCCAATGAGCTGATTGTTACAACAGTTTGTTGCAAAAAAATTTTTTTAATCTAAACATAATGGTTTATCTACAACTATTAATCACTCAGATAGCGGTAGCAGGTAATGTGTATTATAAATGATGAATGTCTTTTTTCTGTTTCAGGGTCAGTAGAGCAAACTGGTTCCCAAAAGGTAAATAATTCAATTTTTCTTGAAGTACATACATGTATAACTGGGACTACAGTAAAATATTTTGTTTTCACTTATTTTTTTTCGGATTCAGGGGTGACTCAGTGAAAATAAAATCCAGCAAATATACTTTTTTAGTCCCCGTTCGGACGAAGTTCGAAAATGGGGACTATTAATTTGGGTTTGTTCAGTCCTCCGCCTGTACGTGCGTTCGGAGCTATATCTCGGACACCCATTGACGGATTTCATTCAAACTTTACATGAAGACAATACATGATGTCTTACATATGCACGTCAAGTTACTTTATGATTGGAGAAAAAATGGCCGACTGGCGGTCATTTTGGATGTAAAATTTGCTATTTCTGATACCTAAACGTGTCTGCAGCAGTTTCTCGGAGATGACTGGGCCAATTTAGATCAAAGTTGGTATTATGATCATACATATTAGGTTGTAGGTGCACATCATTTTTTTTTTCGTGATTAAAACAAATATGGCCGACTGGCGGCCATCTTGTTTTTCATGGTAAACGTTTCTGTTTAAATTTTTTACAAAGATAGTATACCAAGAGATACAACTACACCATCATTATTTTTGTGATTTGATTCAATATGGCTGACTGATGCCCAAATTTCATGTAAAAGTGCTAAATAGTCATTTTTACATGTCTGCAGCAGTTTCTCAGAGATGACTCGACTGATTTGGATCGAACTTGGTATGATAATCATACATATTTTGTTATAGATGCACGTCATATTTTTTCTGTGATTCGAGCAAATATGGCTGACTGGCAGCCATTTTGTTTTTCATGGTACCCATGCTACTTTCATTTGAATGCAATGAACGTTACTCTTTAAATTTTGTACAAAAATAGTATACCAAGGAATACATGTGCACTAACATTATTTTTGTGATTCGATTCAATATATCCAATTTTTATGTAAAAGTGTTAAATCTTTATTTTTGTGTGTGTGCTGTAGCTGTTTCACAGAGATGTCTGGGCCATGGTGTCCATCACATATTTAAGAAAAAATATCATTTTTGTAATTTGACTGCCCAATGACCAATTCTCGTGTAAAAGCACTAAATCATAATTTTTTACAAATCCATCTTCCATTAATGGTTTTAATCTAATCGCAATGACTTCATCAGCATCAAATTGATATGTTAGATCACAAAATTTTGGACGAAGACTGTGTAATTAAGAATGACTTGTTTTCCATATTTTACATTAAACTAATCAAAAATCAGTGAAAATTAACTCTATACAACACACTTAAAAAGTATGTTCAGCGAAAATGAATTATAGCTGAAGTATTTTACAGTAGTGTACATTATTACATATGTACTGCAGTTTATTTTGATTCGTCCCGGAAATCAAATTCGATATTTTCACAACCCATTTTCAAATGAGGTCTGAGAGCAAATAAAATAGTCCCTTCAGGAGTACTGTTTTTCGAAATAAACAATATTTAGAAGTACAATATTTTCCCCTTTGGGTACAGAATATACTTGCTGAGTGAAATGAAATTTGAACAACAGTAATGGTACTTTTAGGCAGTCACTTATTTTGAGTCAAACTAATTTGCATATCACCCATGTAATAATGTTTTTGGTATTTTCATGCAAATGAACATGGTATTTCCATTGGCTACCGAACTATTTTTATTTTGTAAACACATTTTCGTCTGCTATTTTCATCCGGTTCAAATCGTTCAGCAACATTTTTGGCATGTCAGGTGTACATCACATAAAATACTACGATTGGGAGAACTTAATGTATGTTGCTGAGTTACACATACAGTTTATTAATGCCAAATGAGCAACATTTTAACCGGTAACCAAGACTCATTCAATCCACGACCAGCAAGCAATATCACAAAAGAAGTTGTAGCTTGAAGCTCAGCGACGATCGCTGTTGACGAAAGTCATCCCGTCTGTGGAGTACCGCAGTTGCACGGCTTGTTTGCCAATGCACAATTCTGTGGAGGAACTTTTAACTTCAACATTAAACTGTGTATCATAATCGTCCAGTTCAAGTTCTGGCTCTGTCGTGGCCCCAACTAAACATCCACGAGTAATTTATTCGGACAGTGATTCCGATTAGACGTATGATTATTTTATTTCCACACAGACAGTGACACGCATTCTACACTGGCACGCGTTGCTAGGGCGTAATACTGTCTTGGAACATATTAATGGGCAATGGGGTTCCCCGATCTAAATTCCATCCGATTTGTTGCACGTTCTTTCTTTACCCGGTAATATGAAATAATCAAATATGAAACATAAGTAATAATAACAGAACCCCACACCCTGCCCGTGGCTTTCGTTGCGTATGGAAGTTATTTTCACGAGTGATGCGGTGTATCCTGCTGCTGTACTTTCACAAGCGAAGCGAGTGTAAGTATAGCAGAATACACCGCATCTCAACGAAAGCCACAGGGAGGGTCTGGGGTTCCGTCATATTATCATCTGGTGAAATATTGCTATAATAACCATGATCCTAATAAAAGGACCATCAGCTTACCTTCCCTCCCTGTCATTACACCAGATAGTGACAACTATATTTCATCATATTATTTTTATAAATACTAGACAAGTACTGCTGTGGATTTGGAAAGAGATGAAGAATTTCAGAAACAATTAAAACTATCTGAAGGACAGTGGAAGGAAAAGCTTAGACAAGCAGAACTCAAGGTAAAATACCACTTTTCGTTCTCTGCGGAATCCTGCTTTACATGTGAAATTAATCCTAATGCCTTGGTGGCATCAAACTATCGTGTGGAATTCAACACAAAACTATTTGCATATTTCCAAGCTTAATAATGTGCTGTACTCATTTTAAGAGGATCAGTTTTGATGAATTAAAAATATCTCGGCACCATAAGTCTTTCTAAAAGATAGGAATTTTGACATTAAATTATAAAAGAGAAATTCAAGCTCAAAATTAAAATCAAATCACTAGATTTTTGTGGAATTTCACCAATTACATTAGATCTCTTAATGAACTGAAAATCATCTACTGTAAAATGACTAATTTTCACTGGGTTTATAATTTGCTGATTTACCATTTCAGGCATATTCAGTGGGTTATAAATTCACGGTTTTATCAATTAGATTATGTGTTCTATGCTAAATTTTATATATTCACTGTGTTTTAATTTAGCGCATTTTCCAGTCAGCGAAATAAGCTAAATTAAAACCCAGTGTATAATTACCCCCTTTACAGTATGTCACAGTGCTGTTTAGTAATTACCATTCCCTCCTTTGCTGTATGGTGATATTATGGTATAGATGCAGGTTTGACGGCACTTGGTAGTGACATTTTTTTTTTGCCTTTTTATTATCCAAACAGTCTTGGCTAAATGCTGTTAAAATTTTGCAGCATTGTGAATAGCGGAACATACTCAAAAAACGATTTTAAAATATAGATAACAGGTGCAAACATTCTCTCTTTTAAATGCTTAGCAAGATTTAGCAAGGCTGTACATATATAATCGAAAAGAAACATGGGGACAAAAAGTAATGAAGGGATCTCAATATTAAATTTTGGAACTGTTACAGCCATTTTAATTATGATCATTAGCAAACTTCTTACTGAGTGAATGGTTATGCAAATCATCCATTATCTCCACTTGTGTTTTTCAATTTACCAGGGAAGTTCAAATCTAAATAGCTCTCCCAATTCTTGTTTATTTCACACAAAGTTTATCAGTTGTTTATTAACAAAGGGGCGTCCAGGCGTATATATAGTATGTTTTGTTTTCATATTACAAGATTGTCAAGCAGGATGTGTGCCGTATATTCAACCCCAGTCAGTATTTCACAACTTGAATGTCATTGTCCGAGAATGCAAAGCTTTAAAAATAATCCCAAACGTCCTTTTGTACGTAGAGATGTCGTCAAAATAGTGTGAAAACGTCAGGACAAACTGACACAAAACTGTGGGAGCTAATTAATTTTCAATCTCTTCGACCAACTAGAAAACATGAACGGATCGAGATAATGCCCGTTTTATGAAAGTGACGTTAATCGTCCACAAAAATGGCTATTGCATCACGTCAACATGCCAGATAAAAATCATCAGATAAAACAATAATATTAAAATATTTACAATCCACGGGAAATGAATGTAAAATCGTCCACAGAGTCAAAACCTTGCATGAAAACTGTCATGGCGTTTATCATTTCCACTTAGGAAGGGGCAGAATGGATTACGTAAAGCCGATGAGATATTCATATAGTTATATAAAAATATCAATTGCCATTGGGTGGATTGAGTCTAAATTTACCTTTCCTCAAACCTTTAAAAAAATACTTTATATGACGCAGTTTTTTGCGATCTCCTGTGAAATGGACCGTGCGAAGTTAGATGACCAGGTTGAAATGGGTCGTAATATTTTTGCTACACAATGGGTATTCGCAGTTTTTACTTTTCAGTCACTCAAACGCCGGTGTAAAAAAAGTCAAAATGGAAGGGAAACTATTGTAAATCGAAACAGGTTTCACTCAACTACAGACGAGACGGGTTGATAAAAATTACCTCTGGAAATACCTCATTCATAGAGTGCCTTAGTACCAAAGGTCGCTGAGCACGACCGTATAACATACTTTGCGACATCGCCACAGATGCATGCTAGCTGACAAGGGGATTTCCGAATGGCATCCTATGCTTGATTTTTCCTCTGTGTTTAAAAACGGCATCTCAGTGTCGATTTTTCTGTAATTTTCAGGGTATTTCTTTATTTTTAATTAAACCAACATTCATTCATCAATGACAACACAGCAATGGTGTTTATCCATTGAATCGCAATGCTATCAGCACGGTGATTGTTACAGCGAAACAAAAAATATATACTTCAATTTAAAATGCCTGTGGAGAAAAAAAAAGTAGAGAAAATAAATTTAAAAAAAAAATGATTTAACAGTATACCGTACAACTAGAAGCTGCTAGGCTAGAAGTTGTCGACATGTTGCGAGATAAGAGTGAAAAATTTATTTATCATTTACAACTGTATGTATTTTATTCCGCTTGCATGCTGGAAGCGTACGTCTATGTCTTGTCTGATTTTAGTCCCTGTTTCAGGCGCAGCCTGAAAGGCGAACTAATAATTCTTATTTTTGTAGTTTGCGAGGCTAGTCAATAGCGCTTGAGGTAAGTAAATAGGGACCAGGATAGGAAGTCACACATCGCCACACCGTAACTAAAGCCAGCAACTCGTTTTCATACAACATCAACAGTGACTTGTCAATCAAAGAGTAACGTAAACAAACTTTAATCACATACGCGTGCATTGGTTCCCTATATTTTAAAAATTGATTTTTGAGTATGTACCAGCATTGACAATGCTCTAAAATTTGAACACTATCTAACCAAGACTGTCTAGGTAAGAAAAAGCAAAAAAAAATCATCTGAGTACCCACAAACCTTCATCTACATGTATACCTTAAATGTTTATCCACACATCATGGCCTGCAGAAAGTTCTAAACTTTGTCATTTGGCAGTTACTCATCTGCTGTGTTCCTCTAAAGCAAAATAGCACTGAGAAACTATTTCACCTCACGAATCAACTTGAATCTGCTGTACTTGAATACTAAATTTTTGAAATTAAAAAGTCTATTTCTTAGATTTTCCCATTTTACTGAGATCACTGCTCTTAGGGAATACCTTTTCTGTGGTGACATTTGCTGACTCTTAAAGTTGTCTTATTTTCTGTAATGAGTGTACCATGCCCAGGTTTGGCATATTCAAATATAAATATGCTGTCCTGTAGTAATGTTGCATTGTATTTTTAATTTACCATACTAAACCCTAAGATGGTTTCAGTAGTGTAATAAAGTCATTATTATTATTTATATGAATTGCAATTGTTTAGTTTAATTTTTGTCTACTCAGAATGCTGAATTATACAGAATGACATCAGAACAGTTCACGAAGGCAGCAGAAGATGTGGAGTCTAAATTCATGTATGTTATTAATTTTATTTCAAACATTAATTAGTCCCCGTTCGGATGCAGTCCGAAAACGGAGACTTATGTTTTGACCTCTGTGTGTCCGTGCGTGCGTGCGTGTATGTGTGCGTTCGTGTATGCGTCTGTGCGTGCGTCTGTGCGTGCGTCCGGACCTGTATCTTAGAAATGCCTGGACCAATCACAATCAAACTTCACACATACATCATACATGATATTATACATATGCACGTCAATTTGTTTCACGATCTGATTCAAGATGGTCAAATGGCGGCCATTTTTGTGCTAAAAATCATCAAAATCAACCATTTCTCGGCTGTTTACAAATGGATTTTGTTTGAACTTGGTATATTATCCGATTACACTATGAAATAAATACGTATCTACACCATTATAATGCATACGAACGTTGTAATGAATGCATAATGATAATAGACTCAGATACAAATGTCAATCATTTTAATGTTAAAAAAATCATATTCCTGACATGGTTATATTCCAGCTATATTACTATAAACAAAACTATATATCTTAAATTTGATAACGGGAACTGTGCCATGCATGGCTTGTTTATTATGAACTCACAACTCGACAAACGTCCCTCACCGCTGTCAGCAGACGTACTCCCCATAAATGAATAATTACATTTATTGTATTCTGGATCATGTACATATGACGATAGATGCAGCTTTGACATTGGCATAAATGTACACTCTACTAATAGAGTAAATATGATACTTGTGTAAAGAAACCTGTCAATGCAACATGTTTGTGTGTATCTTTGTAACCTTGTATTCATAGTTACCCACTTGATTTATCATTTGTGAAGTGGTTTTAACTTTCTAATCAGAATATTGATATACTTTGTTGATCTACTAACTTAATCAGTTCAATTTATTAATTACTTCTTTGTCACCAATACCCCCACTGCCACCACTGTTCTCTAAGGTGTAGTTGTTGTTTTTTATAGACACCAGTCATATCAACCAGTGTGTAAAGATCTACAAGAGGAAGTACTGAAATGTTACACTATTAATCCTAGGGAGACATTAAATTGTGAAGCTGAGGTCAGAGCATTCACAAACTGTGTAGACCTTACAAGAAATGTAAGTTGTCATTAGGTGGATACTTTTCAGTTACCTGGTACACTACTTTCGTCTGTTTTCTATGTTTTAGTTCAATATGTTACAATGATAGAACCTGTCCAGATTCCTTGTTATTATTAAAATAGGAAAATTACTTAATTTTGTAGATTGTGTTATTTAAATATTTGGCCAAAGCTGTACTACAATTGCATATTGTTATAATGTTGTTTAATCTTTCCTGGTTTGTGTGGATATTACCGTCTTGAAATAAGAATGTCCTTTTCTCATATATTTCACAATCTAGGATAAAGTGAATTTCATTCCCAACTACTTTTTAATGCATTGACATTTTTTACAAAGTTGGTTTTTTGCTTCTGTTCATTGTTTTACTTCTACCTGCTTCGAATAACAAATTACGGTCCCTGATTCTGAACTTTGCAAAATTCATCTCATCTTGTAGATTCTATTTTTCATCTAAGTACTTTTTCATTTCAAACTCATTTTTTTTAAATAATTTTTATGTTGTAATTTTGTTTGCCTCGTATTTTCTTAATATTGAGAGTATCCCTTATCCCTTAGACAAACATACCTACAATGTATCTGAATTTTAATGTCAAACAAGTCCTCCTAACTCAGTGAGTTTCCGTTGATTACAAATTTAACTTACATAATAGTATACAAATAAATGCTTAACCAGAGAAACTTGCATGCTGCTGTCAATGAAATAATCTACTATATTTAAATGCTTATGTATCATATCTCATTTGTTTTCAGAGTGTTTTAACAAAGCGAGAAATCCCCGGAAAATCATGATCAGAGATCAACATATTTGAGTATTTAAGTGTGCTTTTTACAAGGACTGTTATAACTAGAATACCTTTGATAGTCAGTCTGTTAGACAATTTAACATGCAATGCAACATTGCAGTGTAATCCATCTAAATGCAAGTGCTGTTTTCATGTATAATCCCATATATTCTAAGCATGAAATATTGATTTGGTGTAAAATGAACATGCTGTATGAGTTTTGTACCGCATGAAAATAAAGTAATGAAAGTGAAAGTTGTATGTTTGTTACAAGATAATTTTACTAGATTAAAGTTTGATCTTTTTGAACACTACTGATTTCCTTCATTCTTTATTTTGATTTTTTTTAAATAATTGGTGTATACCATCACAATTCAATTGTTAATTTCTTGATCATCAATCAAGGACACTACTCTTAAAACCCATTTTGTGCTTCTTCTGAAACCTCCATTATTGGATTTTGTCTAGTACATGTACTAAATGTCATATTTCAGAATCTTACATGCTTTCTCAAGTCTAGTCTCAAGTGTTCTCTTAAATTGTCCTAGAATTGTTATACCATTAACGTTCAGGATTTGTACATGCCTTCGATGCCACACTTTGTTTAATGGCATTTTATACAGACAATAATTACATACAGACATCAAAAATAAAACACTGACCCAAGTTTCACTGGGCTAAAAAGAAACTATATGACAGACAAGATGCCATTGAGCTATATGTATATGGAACACAATGCCGGTCATAGATTTTTTTGGGTAATAAGATTTTTTTAATTTGGATCATGAATATTCATAAGTTGATCATTATGTTTGGAGTCTACCTGCCACAATTTGAGTACCGTATGCAAATTATATGAGAACAATGACTACAAATCCTAAAAGGTCAATGCCCATGCATTGCATAATAATGTTATTGGAATTTTGTAGCATATTTGGAAATGAGGTCATGGTCCCCCTTACTCATTACGAGTTTGTTTCAATAAATGTGAAAGGTTTGACAAAGTAAATGTAAATAAGGAAAATTTTTAGAATTGTCAAACTTACTGGTTCTAAACGTTGTGAGTTTTGGTGCTGAGACGGATGGAGTACATGTACTAAAAAATATAGTGAAAACTATCAAAATCATGCAATGAAAGAATATTTTGGCCTCTGAACAAAATTAAATCTGCAAAGAAAGTGTGGTCACATAAAAGGTGATTGGGTTGCTCATATGTTATCTTTTTTTGAACCCCCTAAAAATGGTCACTATAGGCTGGTGGTCACTAACGCAGGTTTTGCTGTACTTGGTCTTGTCATTATATGCATCCATTCTATTTTGTTTTGCTCAGTTTTCAATTCACTGTGGTACTGCACTGTTTTGGATTCTACGATATCATTATACTTCCACCTAAGTTTATAAGCTGAGTCGTAGGGAATATTCAAATGTAATATACTTTATGGTATTGTATTTATACTTGGAATTATTGTGGGCCTTGCAGCAACACCAAATGCATCATAGTTGAGAAATTGTACACTTTAATTTGACTTAAAAATGTTTGCAATTTCTCATGATAAAATATACCATTTTGTGTAATTAAATTTATAGAAAGAATGCAAGGCATAAGAATATATGTTTTTATACTTCAATCAATTAATTATCATTTCTCTAATGTATTTTATCTTATAATCAGTCTGAAGCCTTAACAATAACTTGTACACTAGAGAAGCATATGAAATCATATGCATTGAAGAGACTGTTTATTTACATGAGATACCTAAGTTCATATAAATAAACTATGTATTTTACATGTGACCCAAATCTAGCATGATGCAATAACTTGTGCTTATTAATCTTTGGATGTCCCATTATTGAGATGATAACAAACAACATTACATATATTAAATCATATTCTGTAAAACCCCACACATAGGAATAAGCATCTGTGTTGTACCAGTCTTGTATGGATTGAAAACAAAGTATTAATCGTATTCATATCCGGTTGTCCAAAAAACATGGAACCGGAACGTGAAATTAAAAATATTTGGAAGGACGTCAAAGAACTTAAAGGGGAACCGCTCAATCCCATGGATTGCACCAAAGAATCATGGGACACTATTGTTTATGTTGTTTACAATGTTAATCTATCTTTTGTTATCCATTGTTATTTTAATCCAGAAAGTAAATTTGTTGTGAGTTAGGCTTAACTGGAAGGTGCCCTTCTAAGTGTAACACATCGACCCAAGACGTAAAGTGCGCCCTCAAGCGGAAACATGCACTTTCTGCCTATTATTTCATCCACATTATTAGAATGAGTGTACACACAACTACAAATTGCGATTATAATAAAATAAATAATATTAATAATATACAAACTAAGTCTATTATCATTATGCAATCATTACAACGTTCGTATGCATTATAATGGTGTAACTAGATACGTATTTTTTTCATAGTGTAATCGTTACGAGTTACGTATTAATTTCATAATGCTGTAATACTTACAATGTACATACTTATTCGTTTCATAAGCTATATAATTGCTGACTCTTCGGGATGACATAATAATAACTTTAGACGATGTTTAGAATTTGCTTTTGTGTGTTTGCGACAAATGTGGTTTTGTGCCCTAATAGAAAAGGTGTTTTCTCAATTGTATATGCCTTTCCACGTTTTTTGTCCAATCCTTAGGTGGAGTCTGCCAATTTTAGTGTATTAAAACCTATTACTAAAAAGTATTCCCACTGTTTACCCCCCCCCCCCCCCGCCAGTGCCAAAAATGTCCACAATATATATAAAGCCCAGATCACAGAATTTAGTCTACCTTGTGTTGTTGCATGTAACTTCATAGTAGGGAAACATTTTCGCATTATGTCAGTCCGTTCGTTTAGCAACTCTATATAGAAAGTGGCATGTTAAATACAAGGGCTGTCGGTAAAAAGTTATGTTTGAATTAGCGCTCCTCACACTGATCAAAAGTTGAAATCAAGTTGGTTTTTATTTCCATGGATGTTAATTATCGGACATACTATTTGACACATGTTAAATTGATCGGATTTCGTCACATTGGTATATTAGCTTAATTGCTTCAAATCAGTGGAACAAATAAAGTACTTTAACCTACCTTTAACCTAGGATAAATGTATTGCTAACAAAGTTACGACCTTCCGGGTCTTTAAAACATATACGATAAATTATGTTGTAAGTTTCGTTTTCATTGTTAATATAGTGGCCGCAGCGAGAACAACGCCCTACTGCATTCAAAACACTGGCAAAGCATTTCCGCATGCATGTTGTGAAGCATGATTTTTATTTGGCATATAGCAACAACATTATAATCAAATGTGTTACGCTTTTTTGGAGCTCTATTGGGTAAGGAATACAAAATGCTTTTCGAGCCCAGGCCAAAAAGGCACGCCCACATATTTTTAATTTTACGTTCCAGTTTCGGAATTTTTTAGACAACCTTCATGTCCCTCAGTATATTGTATTCCAGCTGTAATACTCAACATTGGAATGTAGGTATTACAACTCTCTGTCAAATGGTGTCAGTAGGAATTTCCATGCCACATAGAAACTTCCAGATGATTTATCTTATGTATTCTTAAAGCAATTGATAATCTAACATGATTCATTGTAATCGTCTATATACCTGTATTTAAAAACAAATTGACAGCTTATAAGCTAAGACTTGGATATTCAAGGCAGAGAAAATAACTGAATTCATTACTTAATCCTCAGCTTGAATGATGATGAATCAATTCCTACAGTGTGAGATTTGGGAACTAAATTGAAGTCAATTATTGCCTGCAGATTTTAGCTTCCACTGAGAGGATGACTGAATGTTAGTCAATCACAGTTTGATCCAAGTCATTATGGCATCATACTGTAGTCTGAATGGTACTCAATCATTGACTAATCCATGGTCTGTGGTGACTATATTATCACTCCTAAGGGTAGATGATAAATGATAGCTTGATCCAAACAAAGACTAACTACATGGTGACTGTAGAACTATGATGACATTTAATTCCTTGGACGATAGATCCTATAAAAAAGGTGAATGTATTCATGTCGAAGTTAAATCATCTTATTTTTAGTTTTTCATAAAATTATATTGCTGGTCAAAATGAAGTTTACCACTGGTTGATCAGAACCTCAATGCAAAGTGCTTCATACAATACAAGAGGCTACATGTGTTACAAATTTTCACTTCACCATAAGACTGTATATGGTTTCTATGGGTACTAGAGATTACGTGTGTAGAGCCATTGACTGACATTAACCTCTTAACGGGGAAGTGCTTTATAAAGGACTGGGGGGTTACAACTTTCACTTATTGATCTCGACCTCATAAGACTGCAATTGATTTATATAGATCATAGAAGCTACGTATATTAGAGATTTTCACTTGTTGATCTCGAATTCATAAGACTACATTTGATTAAAGACTTTCACTTGTTGATCCCGACCTCATAAGACTACATTTGATTCATATAGATATTAGACGCTATGTGTATTAAAAACTTTCACTTGTTGATCTCGACTTCATAAGACTACATTTGATTTGTATAGATACTAGAAGCTATGGGCATTAATGACTTTCACTTGATGATTTTAATCTCGGAAGACTGCATTTGATTTATATAGATATTAGAATCTATGTGTATAAGAGACTTTCACTTGTTATTCTCGACTTCATACTACTATTCCGGTTTGAGTGTCCCGTTTACTACAAGTATCCACTTGGTGATAAACAACACGCAGAACCTAGCTGTGTATAAACAAGACACCAAAAGTATCAATAATCAGGGCAACAAAGAAAGCCGCGCGCCAGCGAGTCAAAACAAAGACACACCAACTCATTGGGTACGTGACTACTAACACTGATACAATGTGAAACATGTATGTTTCGCCATACTCATTTTTTTGGTATTTTGAAACAATGAAAAATTAAAGTACATAAAATATTTGTGCAGCACAGAATTTTAAACGAGAACTTGAATATTATTGTCTTCT